GAGGGACAGGACTCTTCAGGCTGGCCACGATGTTGCAATTAATTATAGAGAACTGTTGCAAGCTATCCTGCAAATCTCTTCAAGATCTGGTGATGCGAAGCACATGTTGCCACCTATTTCTAGAAAGATTGCTCAGAGTGTAACAGAGTTGGTAGCTGTGGCTGAGTTGTTGAAGGGTAATGACTGGGTGGACCCTGATGACCCAACGGTGATCGCTGAGAACGAGTTGCTGGGTGCTGCTGCCAGTATTGATGCTGCTGCTAAGAAGCTTGCTAGTTTGAGACCAAGGAGAAGCATACAGGTGAGTTCTCAAGGGACAATTGGATTTAACATCTTAAGATCTTGAGACTTTCACGACTTGAATCGTCACACTTAAGTATCAATGGGAACTTGATCTGATTTCTGTAAGATATGTTTGATATTCTTGGTTGTTTTATAAATAATCGACCAGGAATCAAACATATTATTACGGCGGTCAGGAAAATCAACAGATTTTCATGGTGAGATTTATATGAATAAATTGGCTACAACTACAAAGCAAGGAACCAGCTATATACTGTTTATCTAATTATTTGTATCGATTATACATCAAACAATCAAGATCATTAAATCCACTTTCTCATTTTCCAGGAAGCTAACGAAGACATGAACTTCGATGAGATGATCCTAGAAGCAGCAAAATCAATCGCAGCAGCAACCTCAGCGCTGATAAAAGCAGCAAGCGCTGCTCAGAGAGAGTTGATAGCGACCGGAAAGGTATCTCGAACACCTCTGACCAGTTCAGATGACGGCCAGTGGTCCGAAGGCTTAATATCTGCCGCAAGAATGGTGGCAGCAGCAACACACAGCCTCGTAGAGTCAGCAAATGCGTTGGTCCAAGGCGTAAGTTCAGAAGAAAAACTGATTTCCAGTGCTAAACAAGTAGCTAGCAGCACAGCCCAGCTGCTGGTTGCTTGCAAAGTGAAGGCAGACCCTGATAGCGACAGCACAAAGAGATTACAAGCTGCTGGCAATGCTGTGAAACGCGCCACGGATAACCTGGTGCGAGCTGCACAGCAAGCTATCCAACAGGAGGAAGATAGATCTTTGATCCTCAATCGCAGAATGGTGGGTGGAATCGCGCAGGAGATAAACGCCAGGTCAGAAGTCCTTCGTATCGAAAGGGAACTTGAGGAAGCTAGAGGAAGGTTGACAGCAATTCGGCAGGCGAAGTATAAGAATCGTCCAGACCTGGCTACTACTGATACTGAAGCTGAACAAAGTGGCTACGAGAGCTATTCAAGCAGGTATGAGTTCAAAATTTAATTTTTGATATGGATCCTCTAATCATTTCTATTTTCTCATTCCACTGAATCTTAAGGATAGTACATTCACCATGTCTAACTACTTAATTTTGCTCCTAGAGTTATAATCTTACCACGATATAGTAAAGTCTTAATTTTTTTGTTATAAACAAAGCTGAATTATCTTCCCCACTATGTCGCAGCAATCTATTTTATTATTGTTCCAATCCGTAATTCCATCATTCATAAGCCAGAATCCTCAATTTCCCTAATATGCAACATTAACCACATTGACAATAGCAGGCAGAACTTGGTCAGCCCCGAGAAAGTCTACTCCACCCAGAGCACCTTGGAGAGGAAGATGAAGGACAGCCAATACAGGTCCAGCATGGAGAACCAATATGGATCATTTGACAGAAAATACAGTATGGAGAATCAGTATGATAAACGATATGGTACAGAGAGTCCATACATTACATCTGACAAAAGGATTGGCATGGATGGTGCAGCCAGCCAATACAGTACTTTAAAGAGCTATGACATGGTGGACAGGTTCTCTGGACACAGTCCCATGAGCACTTTCAAGTCCGAAAAACAAAGTTTTAGTGCTGTCCCACAAAATCAGTCTTTCAGAAACGTGGAGTCCAAATTGATACCTGGTGGACGAATGGAGACAATCACAACGAAGATGTACACGTCCACTCCTGGCAAGACCAGCAGCTCTAACTTTGAGTCCTCAGAGGAGACCAAAGAGTTTGCTACCTCTGGTAACGAGCTGTCCACTTTCAAAGCTATTGACAATGACACTCTTGAAGAACGCCTGACGAAACAATCGATGATGCATAAGGTCACTGAGAAGAAAACTGTAACCATGACAATGTCTAGCAGACAGGAGTCGAACACCAAGACATTCCGGTTCGAGGAGAAGTAAGTGAATGTTGAAGAAGAATGTTCCTGCTGAAGGAACCGCATACACGTTGTCCTTTAATGCACAAATAGCCTATGGGGCTTCTGGTTGGGTATTTTTAATGTAAGAAAGCTGCCCAACTAATGGAAAGTAGTTGTTACATGTATTTTCGTACAAGCTATGGTAATCAGGTAATGTGTAATTAATTAACCTAAAAAAGGTAAACAGGGGAATGTTTAGAACTGAAGGTTATGCTCTTGCTTGAGACTTTTAATTAAATTTTATTGAATAATGTTAACAGGGTTACTATTTGTTGATTCGAAAGGTTAATTGTGTATATTTAAAATGAAATTTAATTTGTATGAATCTTCTTCCTTCAAAACTGTGACATCTAAATATAATGGAAGAATTCTTTTAAAGAGGAAATTGGGACAATTCATCTACTTGAAATGACTGAAATAAGGTTCAAGAGACAAGTTTTGAACATTCCTTGATCATGGATCTAGAAATAGTCATAAAACAGAATTAGAAGATATTGTAAAAGGGTAGCTGAACATTACCGATGTAACAGACTATTTCGCATTTGATAGTAATAATTATTAAAAATTGTACGGATCCCGTTAACAAAGCTATTCATGCTTTTCACTTTGATTGGATAAAATTAAACAAAATGGAAACAACTATGCCATCAATGTCAAAATTACCTTACTAAGCGGAAACGTATGATTAGGTCAATTAAAAAGGATATTCCTCGTAAGTACAAGTATTAACAAGATAATCAGTTCGATGTGTTAATATAATTTTCAAATCAATTTTATATGGAGAATCTTTAGAATCATGATATTACTGTCACCCCATGCACAACAAATTCGTCCCAAATGCATAGAAGAATATATTCTAACGCCTTTGTACGATAATTTTATTATAGCGAAGAAGATAGAAGTGTCCTTAGATAGAGATAACTGTGTGCTTTCAAAATTAGACTTCTTAAGAATAATTATCGTCTCTTAAAGATGGACAATAACCGTCCCCTTTGCGAATTGATTAATTCAATGTAATAATCGCAATTATACGCGTTCTTTTAATATTTTTCCACTGACAATTTAAAAATGTTTGATATAGTATTACATTTTCGTCTTTTGGACAAACTTTTTCTAAAGAAACTACAAGTTTTAGACTTATAGAATCAACAACATTCTTTAAAAAATTTTATTCAATTGTTTGTTACACCTTTCAAAGGAATTGCAAGTAATTAAATTGTTCATATGTGTCGTCTTCACCCTGAAAGCATCGTGCGCCGCAGATACATGGTACACGTGATTTTTAATTTAGCTCTAATTTATCTTAACTTTAAGTTTAAGACCACGGATTGACAAGAGAAGCAACATATCATTTTATTTTATTAACTTTCCGACACCGTGCGGCCTGCTCCCACGGTGGTGTCTTCGACCCCCCTTTTTAACATTTTTCCCTTTATTTCCCCGGGATTAACATTAATTTTTAAGTGCATCTTTTTATTCTTTCTGTTGCTTATACTTTTTTCTTTTATTACCCGCTGTTTATACCATTCGTCATTCGCGGTGGCTCGTTTTCGATGACTTTTTAATTGATCGTTCAGTCATTAACCTCTTTCCATCAAGATTGCCCAGTTTTATATAAAAATATTCAGTAAATAAAGAAAACCATGTATCTGGAATAATTTCAAAATAGTTTTTGTTCTAAATGAGCCATTTTAAAAAGTGCTGTATAAGAGGCTAATAATTGGACAGAATTATTCCAAGTGATCAATTAGTACAATTATCATTAGTCTTTCGAGGGTAGACGAATTGTAAATAGGTGTTAGATATTTTGCATAAAATTTTCGATGTTCTTGTATAAAATGCAAAAGGTCATTTAGGAAAAAAGAAAATTATTAATTAAATGAAAAGTGCCTGAGCCAGATGAGCTGCCGCTTTTTCACGTATTCGTAGCAAACGTAGGATTTTTGAATATTACCAAAAATCAAATGCTTTACTAATGTTCGATAGTGTAATTACGTAAAAAGAATTTTTTTAAAGTGTACTTCCCTTTATGGGAGAGAAATTGCTTGATAATTCGAAGAGATACAATTTTTTTATTGTCTAGGCTCTTCTAAGGGGATGCAGATATACAGGGTGTTACAGAATTAGGGATAAGATTAGCATAACACTGATAAAAGAATAGAAATAATGTTTTTAATAATTCAAGAAGAAAACAGTTAATTTATAAACTTTTCATTCTCATTTACTAATTTTACAAACCAATAATTCTGAAACAACCTGTGCATACAATGATCCATACATCTGTTTACGTAATTATATAAAAGGGTAACATTTATTTATTTAAAATATACAGTAATGATTTAATGATACATAAAACGAATTATTAAAGTGCAAAATATAAAAATGAAAGTATGTGAACAGATATGTGGGTCACAATAAATATATAAACAACTGCATTTAGGGTAATATATTTTGAGAACGATCGCCAATCGTGTTTTTATTTTATATACGTCTATCTATAGGTGTGTGCCATGATATATAAATAAAGAAAAATTATACATGATAATTGTATGATAGATTATACTATATATATAATATATGTCGTTAACGTATTAAAAAAATGAATATGATAAAGTGGCAAATACAACGAGAGGATTTTTATAGTTTTTAACACTGTATCATTGTTTTTTTGACAATTCAGATTTATATACAGAATGTTTTTAATCGTTATATTTAGTACAATTGATTAAGCCTTACATGTCTATTATTGTGGAATGTTACAAGTTGTAATATTATATTATTATCATATTATTATTATTATTATGAGTATTTACGAATACAATTATTAGCCTTAATTACAATTCAGGTAATAAAGAATTTCTAACATTTCGTTGTTACATCATTTGACATGGTGTAATTCTGTTTCTGCGTGAAAATTGTTATTCTTTAAACCTACTTTTTCTTCAATTATTTCTCACACAAATATTGTTTTAAATAATATGAAGTACTTTAACAATTCGTGAGATTCGAGGTAGTTAAATAGAATGATGCGATTGTCATACACTAAAAAGTCTTAATTATTTCTCTCTTTGTTAATTTTTATGGTTCATCTTCTCTCAAAATTTGCGTCTCCTTAATTTTATTGTTTATTTACGGCTTCGTTCAATGCCTTTGCGATGAACCTTGGAAGAACAAAGGCTGCCTTATGCACTTCATCATCATAATATTTCATGTTCATTTGATCCAATTCTTCGTTACTGAAAATGATCTTTGGTTGCTTGAAATTTGTTTCCTGAAATTAATTGAAGCTTAATCGTGTTCATATTAAATACAGTTTAATTAATGTGATACAGGAGGTAATATAGAAAGGGTGGCTAATATTAATTAAAATTTAATATTACTCACTGTGCATAATCCACCCAACACGAAACCGATTTGTCCTGTTGGATAAGTTGGCACGGAAACAATGCCATAAGATGCAACCGGAAACACAGATTTACAGTGCTGTAATGTCTGTGTTACATGGTCCAAATTTGCCCATGCGGTTCCTGCTTGGCTGCAAACGATTCCACCAGGTTTCAATGCAGTCTTCATTAAACTAAAGTATGATTCCTGGAATAAACACTCTGCTGGACCTATGATCAGACATATTTCATTTTGCAAAAAGGAAGTACCTGTTAATTGTTAATATAAATTTTAAGAATAAATAAAATAAAAATTTGCTTACCAACAGGATCACTGCTGTCCGTGATAATAACGTCGAACTCTCCCCTGTGCTGCTTTAAAAACTCGAAACCATCCCCCACGTTAAGGGTGACTTTAGGGTGCATCAACCCTACACCCATCGTCGGTAAGTAAGACTTTGAAACTTCCAGTACCTTCTCGTCAATTTCTACTTGAACGATCCTTTCTACTTGAGGATGTTTTGCAGCTTCGCGAGCAACCCCTCCATCTCCACCCCCAACTATTAAAACCTGCCAGAAACATAATTTAAACAAACGTCACATACCTTGAAGTGGAAAGTACTTAATATTGGTAATATAACAAAAATTTTTAGATATTTTGATACACAATTCTTACTGTTTTTGGGTCTGGATGGCTGCACAGTGGTAAGAAAGCGATCATCTCCTGGTACGAAAATTCATCCCTCTCTGTGGATTGTATGATACCATCTAAAATTAACGCCCTTCCATGTGATTTCCTGTACGTACACAATCAAAACAAGTTCCGCTTAAAATGATGAGACAACTTGCTGGTATTCAGTTCTTTTTTAAGTCTGCATTGATCGTGTCTATAAATATAATCTAAATGGTCTCGTGAATGATAAGCGTTATCCATTTAAACATTTCTAAACGCCATAATTGTGCGTTGCAAGGGCAAATTATCTATTATAGAATTTTAAAAAACCACGCTTCTTGAACTTTATCCATTCCGTGTTCAGAAATAAAATTACAGAATTTTCAAATTTCTAAGGAACCTAGGCCACCCTAGAAGAAAAAATCTATCTAGCCCAGTGATGTTATTTTTTCAATGTCATTAAAAACCGAAGTGATTCCTTCGCCTCCCATAGAAAAAGAAAATATGATAGGATAATAATTACGTGTCGAGGACCATCACGTCCTGGTACTGCGACCGTTCACGATAAAGTATCCTGTTAACTTGGAGGGACAACGAGACACCTGGCCATAGATCGTTGATTTCACTGAACCAGCCAGGTTTCATCGCGTCCATTTTTCCTGGTGAGTCGAGCTTCTCCCTCGTTTCGCGATTCAACTGAAAGCAGAGACTGCCGGTCGGTTAATCGTGCCCGAGGAAAATAAAAGTGGCAACTTTTTTATGCGGCCAAACATGTTTCCCTGCAACAAGGACCTCCAGTTCCACTCCTTTCGGTGGTTCGCGTACGGGAAAGACATGGCGAAACTCGTTTGTCACTTGTGTATTCGTGCTGATAGCATCCGGTTAGGTACACACGTTTCATATTTTCATTTTAATACATGTGGAATAATACTATCATTAGATAGATTCTAATTTGGGAAAATGCAAAATTAGAAATATGTAGAAATTTTGAATAGTTTGGGTGACTGACATTAATGAAAGAATAAAAATAAAAAAGAAATTTTATCCCCCCATAAGGGAGGAAGAAGGGGGATTTTTTGGATTCTTTGAAATTTCTTTTCCTAATTGAAATACTCTTACTTTAACGATCTATGTATTATCACGATCATAGTAATGTACCGCGTGCGTAGCGATGAAGAGTTTTAATTATAGAAATTCAGTGAGTAAACAGCTGAGTGAGTTTGAATACCAAATATACGTATAGCACGTGTTTACTCGGTGTTATATCCTCAGAACATACTAATTACAGTGGATCTTTAGAATGAAACTAGATACCATTCTAGAAATTTTATAAAAAGACATAATTAATTAGTAGCTCATTATGGACAGATTTTTGATATTTAATATTACACAAAATTTTCACAATTTAATATTAAATAATTATTTGAATTTTTCTATTAAATTTAGAAGAAAAAATGAAATAAGTGTGTCTTGAATTAAATCAGAAAAAAATTAAGTTTCATCTAACTTAATTAAAATTAATTCATTAATTTTCATTACCTAAATTGATAGAAATTTTACAATAATCAGAACTTACAATGACAACACGTGGAACATCATCCCCTTAAAATAAATCCAATAATTGCTTAACCAAAATGTTACCAGCACGAATGAATATTTTTAAAGAATTAATTCAAACGTAATTCGTTCGTTGACATTGAGAAGGGATAGATCGTAGTTGGAAGAAATGTAGGGCAGAGAAGGTGGATGTTTTTAAGGGAAACGTAATTTTTCCGATGGAAAAAGAAGTCAGAGAAACGCGTATACCGTACCGTGAACTGGCGACGAGCCAACGAACAGACCTTCCAAACAGAAGCACGAACAACACTGACGAATGCAAAGTTGACGAGAGTTTACTTGCTAAACGGACGGTGGCCCTTATCGGACCCCGTTACTCTGCTCCCTGATAATGGTAGTTCAACCACGACCAAGATAACGTGCATGTGTTGGATGAGTATTACCGAAATCAAGAACCATGGCTTTGAAAACCCCAAGGAAAATTCGAATTACTTCAAAAATTGAAATATTCTGAGAAATATTAATTTGATAGTACTAGTATTATTTTTGTATGACTTCGTTTTTTTAAATAAGTGCAACACTGCATTTAAGAAATGCAGATGCACTAAAACTGCATTATCTTACATAAAGTAAATGCACATTTTTAATATTATATCGTACTACTTTTTTACTAAGAATATTTCAAAGAATGAATTTATATAATAAGAAACTTTGCAGTTCCATTAAGAAAGGAAGTGCATCTGCATTTTTTCGGTGCATCGTTGCACTTACAAGAAAAGTGATATCGTAGAAAACCAGATCTTTGTACTCAAATTTCTCGTACACAACTTATTTTTATTTCCAACCCAATGCATGATTCAGTTTGTATATAGAAGATTTCAAATCATTAAGATCTTTCTAATCACAGAATAATTAAAAGCATCAGAAATAATGCAATTTTTTATTTTTGAACAATCAGATATAATTCAGTGGAAGAGAAATTTATATTGATTATAATTAATTTTAAATACTTTTAATTATTTTTTTTCTAAACATAAGATGCAACTATTGCAATGACTTTTCTTATTTAATTATGTGAAACATATGTGTTCCATAAATAGATTTTCATCACGTTCTTACGAAGACATTCATACTTAATGATAAGAAGATTTCTCAAAGTGGTAAAAATGACTTCGAAAGCAAACATGTCTAACGATAATTTTATCGTACATTCCCTTTCGAACTCGTCTCGTGATATCAGCTTGAATTACGAAAATAGTTTTGATCGGATTATAAGAATGCAGTTGTTAAGTGCAACTAAATTTAATTGAGCAAATGTTGATAAGGCAATCATTGGTGAGATTATAAAAGACCGACCTTGACATCCTTCGTATCTGGTCTGGGTCAAAATATTTAAATGTAAGATATGTAGATGTATCTGATTCAGCGTTTAAAATTAATGACCAATCATGGGAGGATGTATAGGGTGTTCCATTAGAAAATGTCAGCTAATGCATCGCGTACAGTGAATTGCAAAAGTATTCTTATCCTCTCAATTAATTCGCGGACGCCGAGCCATGGAAAGAGCTTTAATTTTCATTTAATTTTATATATCATATTAGTTTATAATTAAATAATGTTCATATTAGATTAAATAGAAGTATTTAAAAATATGATATGAACTATTTAACATTACGAATACATAGCAAGCCATCAAAGTATCTTAATTTAATTATTTTAAAACATGTAACTGTGTTACTAATAAATATAATGATTGAATAGGTATGGAAAATGAATCAAATTATCCTAGACTTTATTTGCAAATTAGGATTCATGCACTACGAACGATATTTCTAAAATTCAAATTTGAAAATGTGAAACACTTCGCACTGCAACAGTCTAACGCAAGTTGATGGTAACAGCAGATTGCTTCGATTTATCACCTATAACAGACGAAGGCGTCATTATAAAGCCTTTGCGGGCGTCACGTGCTGATTATAAGGTAATTGTATAATTAAAACGCCCATAAGAAGCAATTTAAATTAACAATTTTTTTAATTCGATTCCATCGCCATCTCTACAAAAACGGCCCAAACTACTCGACGAGTTACCGATCGATTTTCTGAAAGTAGCGGAAGTTTGACTATAACTTATCGACTTATGGATGACTTCCGCTAGTTTCCAATAAAATCGATCGGAAACTCGTTGAGCAGTTTGCGCCAGTTTTGTAGAGATGGCAATGGAATCGAATTAAAAAAATTTTTAATTTATGGCGGTATTTTTAAAGTCAAGTTTTTCAAACAATTGTTTTAATAATTTTTTTAGTCTTGTGTTGATTTTGATTGATTTCCAAAAAATTGAAAATGTCCTATACACGCAGACTAATTTTATTTGGGGTGTTTGGAACCCCCGAAATCATGATCTCTCTGTATCTGTAGTCATTGAATGTGGACAATGAATAACCTCGTGTAGCTGTTTCCTGCTGTTTCCTTAACCTTGCTTAAACTGACTTAACGTTTTTCGAAACTTCTGTTGTATTACAGAGTATTATTTAAAAGAAATCATCCATAATAGATTATCTAATGTTAAATTCATAAATTTTTCTAACAGGTAAATTACGAAGTCAAGATATAATGTCGATGCTCGCAGAACGTCGTCAAAAACAGAAGTGGACACTGAACCCTCGAGGAAAACAGTGGAGCGAGGGTATATTAATATTTGAATTTATTCTTGTTAATTGAATGAAACGTTGCATATTGGTAAAGTTTATTGTTCATTTTTTAGATGGAGAGAAATTTGGGCAGAAAATGCTGGAGAAAATGGGTTGGACAAGTGGCAAAGGACTCGGAGCAAATGAACAGGGTATGACGGAGCACGTACGCGTGTCTGTTAAAAATGATAAATCAGGTAAGAATGTTTAAATAAAATTAACAAATTATCATTTCAAAGTCGTAACTATATTTAAAATAAATTCCACTGACATACATTGTTTTTAAGGTATTGGTTTCAAACAAGATGCTTTAGAAGAAGCATGGACAGAACATCAAGAGAGCTTTAATGACTTCTTACAAAAGCTTCAAACAGAACAAAATGAGACTATAGTACAAATAGAGGAAGTTAATACTGAACTAAGTGGAAAGTCATTAGAGTTGAAATCTAAGCACAGCCGTGCTCGTGTTCAGTAAGTATTCTATTTTATTTGTTTATGTAGAATTATTATTAATTAATATTATTACTAGCTATCAAAAATTCACGAGGGGAAAAGATGTAAATAAGTATAGTTCAAAAGATTTAGCAAATATATTTGGTCAGAAAGAAATAAATATGAATAAGGGAAGTAAAGAAACAAATACAGAAGAAGAAAGCTCTGTTGCGATTAATACTTCGGAAAATAACAACGGTGTTATTGTTATAAACGGCGGTAGTATGACTGATTATTTTATGAAAAAGGGTAAAGATATTTCTTTAATGTCTAAACGAAAAAAGAAGCCAGAATCCAATTCGGAAAGTGAACCTGAGTATGCAGGGTTTGGTTTCGCATCGCCCTTCGGCAAAGCGCAATCTCGTAATGAAGAAAATAAAGAAATGAAAAATTCGAGTAATTATGCTTTTGAAAATCCTTGCATGGAACTAAATAGCCCTGAGAATATTTCAAATTTCACCGAGATTGGATCCCTCAAAAAAAGAAAGTCTACTGATGAGACTGAATCAAGTTTAAATCAGAGTATTAAAAAATTTAAAGATGATAATGTAAGTAGCGTACAGTACGAAAATGGTATTGTAAATGCTGCCTTGAATCTGGATTCTCAATCAGAGGATGTTTATAATGGACAAGAATTTGAAGTATCTAGGGTACAGTTTGGTCTTGCAAACTCGGCCTTAGATTTAAGCGATGAAGTTGAAAAGAAAAGGGTAACATTTAACGATCACGTGGAATACAGTACTGATTCAATAAAAAACAAGAAAGGTCGATCAAAATTGGATAAATTTGAAGTTGAGAACAAGAAAGCCAAGAAGAAGAAGAAGAAGAAGAAACAGGAAGATGTTAAAAATTCTGTATCATATAGCTTTACTAATGAAGCTTTAGACACTGAAGACAAACCTGAGGAGATAAATGACAATGAAATCAATGAACGTAAAAGTAAGAAATCTAAAAAAAGGAAAGAAAGTCGTCGATCTAATTTGGAAACAATAGTAGAAGCACCAGAAGAAGATAAAGAAATTTATGAAGATGGGATAGAAAAGAAAAATATTAATACAGATGAAAATATATCGGAGATTCAGGAAAATGAGTCGCATAAGAAATCAAAGAAGAAAAAGCGAAAAGAAGAAGTGAAAGAAATTAGCATCGATGATAGAATGAATGCAGAAGAAATTATAGAAACAAATTTCCAGCCTGAGAATGGGGAATGTGAACTCCAAAAAGATCAGGGGAATATTTCTAAAGAAAAAAAGAAGATGAAGAAGAAGAAAAAAGAACGTGTCGACCCAGATATGCAACATGAAGATGTCTCTGAAACTAATATGAAAGCTAGTGATGAAGTAGACGACAATAACGAAAAAACGGAAGAAGAAGTTGTAAAAGTTAAAAAGAATAAAAAGAAAAAGAAGGATGCAAGTGTGACGGATTCTAATATAGAAGTAGAAAATGTAGAAAAAGGGAAAGAAAATATGGATAATGTACATGAAAATACGTTCGAAACAGAGAAAGAAAAAGAAAAGAATTCCATAGATGAATCTACTGTAGATAATAATAATTTTACACAGAGGAATCATGTATATCAAAAAAATCCTGTAGAAAAAAATACATCTGCAAGAGATAGAAATAATAAAAATAACAGAATGTTTAAAACTGTATCTAGTCCTTGGCGCGAGAAAACTACAATGTCAAAGAAAATATTAAGGTCTCTTTTTTATAAGACTTCTGAAGCGCAATTCCCAGGCGCTAATATGTCTGAAATAAAGGGGTATGGAGTAAATATACAGTAAATTTATAAAATATTCGATATATTTCTAACGTTTTATACATGTATATATAATCTGAATCATAATTTTGTATAATTATATACAATGCTTTAAACGATATTTATTATTAAATAATAATCTATATTCTGTAAGAACACAGAATCCTTTTATTTATTTTTTTCCGAGTGAAAGATCCGTTGTAAACATTGAAGGTAATAAAATGTATTTACAACTTGAATGTTGTAATTATTTCTCGAAGTATATTTACGTAGTTAAACGAACAATATGTTGGCGAACAATGGTCACCATTATATAATAACATTAGGCAAGATTATCTTCTATTTTTTTAATTTCTTTTATTTCTGAAAGCTTATTTTTAAATTTGTTCACGTTTTCTATTTCTTCATCACTTAATTCAACCACACAATTGGGTATACATGTATCTTCGATTGAAATAATAGAATAACCCAAACTCATCAATCGAGTTTTAGTCTTGTCAGAGAATAGGAACTCGCTTCTGAACTACAACAGCAATAATCCATGATAAAGATTTTCTCATGGAAACTAAAAAAATGATGAGTTCATTATCCCTACCTTATAATATGTTTTGTCATTATCTTTTAATTCCTCTACATCCTCTGCTTCAACTTCTATTGCATCTTCCATTGCTTGATCATAATTACAATCTTTTGTGGCTATGATATAACTTGCACAATCAAACATTGATAATGCTGAATCTATATTTTTAGCACTGTATATGCATTTTATACAAGGATATTTTAATAAATTTGTATCAAGTAATAAATTTTAAAAGCCCAAATGCATACTTACTTAAATTTTTTGTATATAGTTCTCAGATTTATTCTTACAGCAGGATAATTATTAGATGCAATATGGAGGATAAATGTACATCCTGAGGGAATTCGAACAGGTACTATATGGGTTCGAGCACCTTCCTCAGGATTCTTTATTCTCTCTAGAAATGAATTTAAAGTACTAGCTGGCATATTAGCTTTTTTTGCTTCATCAATTAAATTTGCTAATCTAGAGTTCTTTCTTGGATCTATTTCACCAACTTCTGTAAAATTTAAATTTCATGATAAATTTTTCTGGCACCAATCATACAAAGCAAATACAATTTATTTAAAATGTCACATACATGTAGACAGTTTAACTTATTCTATTTTTTTTTATTGTGTTTGATATCTATTACCTTTTACTGCAATCATCATTTTAGAAATTATAGATTTGAACACTTTTGATCTTGCAGCATCTTGTTCTTGTTTAGTATGTTTAATATTTTGCCATTTGCTATGCCCTGCATATTTTCTCGTTCCATTAATAACAAAATTCTTATGTATACAGTAAAATAAAGTGTTTATTCGATGTCTCATTATGAAAGCTATCAACTGTTAAATAGCATTAAATAGGTTCAATAGGTTATAATCTATAAGTTTATAATGGAACGAGTTTTCTTTTTTGAGGCGGTGATGCCATCTAGCAGGTGTACGGTGCTAACTCTAAAATTGGTCAGTGCACCGACAAGAAGCTGCCATCCTGTGTTATAACACAGGATTGTTTTTTTAACTTAATTAAGGTTATTTATTTGTGAGTTAAAATTTCCATCCACTCTTTAATTCTTGTGCTTTGCCTATTCTTATTACATTGCATATAAATGTCTCTACATATTTGAAACAATTAATACTTTATCAAATATTTTTTAGCAGAATCAGTGTAGTGCAAAGTGTTATTAAAGTAATATTTTCCTTTATTTATTACATAATTACAATAATATAAAAGATAATACGAGATGGGTGTTACTAAAAAAATACATTATTCGATTTTTTCTTTGGTTTTATCATATCATCGTTTCCATTACGATTAGCATTAAAGTTTCGAAGCAATTCGAAACTTCTACCAACGGCTGTGATTGGTCGTCCATTATGGCATTCTCCCATTTCGACCAATCAGGTTCGTCGTTAAAGGGCATGGTACGCGGAGTGTGGTGCAATGCATCAGTCCTTTTCGAAGCTTCGTCCGTTTGGCACGTGTCTGCAACAGGTAAGATTAAATTATCTTCAAATATTAAATTAAATTGTCTATCGAGTGTTGAAACTACAAAAAACAGAAAGAATAGTTGAAGAGAAATCTAGATTCCTGATTTTTGACAATAGTCCGACGCTTCTCTCAAAAATACGTGAACTGAAAATGTTTGCTCTTGCCGCGAAATTCACAATGAGAGTGGAATAGCAAAATCTGAATTATTTGCCCTTTATATCAATAATTTCTTGAACATTATTGCATTTTTTCATGTTTTTATTACATTTCTTCTATAATTTATTGTTATAAATTGTTATAATTGATCTCCCCGTTGTTGACTTGTTGATGTGAATTAAAATATTATTTTCCTCATTTATTCTGTTTTTATATCGATAATTTCTTAAGTACCATTGATATCTTATGTTATTTTCTACATTATTTCCTGTATTTTGGTGTTTTAAGTTGAGAAAAGTAATCTTAACTTTATTTCAATATGGCGTCGATAATCTTTAATACCTTCTAGCGGGAAATTCAAATGTCTTACTTCTTCCAGCCGTAATTCAAGCATTCGTATTTATTGATTATCACATTATCACAGTTCAAAATTAAATCTTATACGGTGATTGACACTTTTGATAATATAATGTAATATAAATAATAATATAATATAATAATATAATATAATAACATAATAACATGCAAAGTTGATTAATGGTAAAGAATTAAAAACAATTTGTTCAAAAATTTATGTTTTGACGGATAAGAAGATTTTTTGAAATATTGATTGACTGAATGTTCATAATGTACATATCACTGAAGTATATGTATATGAGAAAAAATGTTTTCTGTTTTGTTACAGAATTACATTTGAATAAAGAATAAAATATCACAAGAGGAACTATCAAATGAATCTGCCTTACAATAAACGTAAGTTTTATTATGAGACTACTGGTAGTCTTTCGTCGGTGTCAATGTTCGCTTAAATTAAAAGTTCGCTTTTTGACCGCTAGGTGTTTTCACTTATTACAGTCTCGATCATAGCTAAAAGATGGCGTTACAGTGAAAGCGAAAGCCTCCGCGAAAGACCGGGAATTCATTTATTAATTAATCACAACACATTATTACCTACATCTTCTTAAATTTATTACACTAGATATTTGTTTATAACTTTCACTTAAGATATGCTTTTAAATATTTAAGTCATCATAAAATATCCCAAGATCTTACAAATTATTTCAAATTAGAAAGATAAATGATAGAAATAATATAAATAACAAAGTTATGAATTGTTCTGAAGGAACTGAATACGTCGCATTGATTTTGTTTCGCGGATTTAATTAAACGTCCTTTGATCGAATTTAAATAAAAGAGTTAAAATCGAGGGTCGTTTCGTACAAGTCCAATAATCATGAACGCTTTAGGAATATCGACATGCACGGTCAGAGAGGAAGAAAACAGATAATAGCGCGGGAGGAGAAATCTCACTCCCACATGAACGATTTATTTCGTTGATAAGGAAGCAGCAACTTCCGGAACTACTATTTTGTATGTGTCAATTCTTCCTGTCTTGTCGATTGCATAGAAAGCCATTTCTGAATTTCTTTCTTGACATTTCTATTCGGAGACAATTTTCAAGATGCCTTTTCGAACAGTTCATAGCATTTTAACAAAATAATATGATTTATAAATATTTCTAAGAAATAACATTCAATATTCTTGTTAAAATGGTGAAATTATTTTCTACACCTTTATATAAATTATTGATATATTTGTTGGATTGTTTCAGGGTCACGTTCAACCTGTTAACCACGCCGATCGTGCCCTTCCTTTAAGTCAACCAAAATAACGTCCAAGTATCGTCGAAGTAGCAGCAGAAGTTTCAGTCTGGAATTTCTCGGTTATTCCCAGGACGAATCCCGATTCCAACGGATATCGAGACCCAGAGGAATCAAGGCGGAAGTAGCGAGAGAACAAGGAGTCAGAGGGTGAGTGGCTAAGCATTATCGTCGGTTACGTAGCTATATCCTGTAACGCACGAACGACTCTAAAATTGCGCTCACCTCTTGCGTCCTTCCGCTTCTACGTTCTCGAGCACTCGAGCAACATCGTGAACCATTCAATCTTAAACCATCGTCTGCGCCGTCTTTTTTCTCAGACAGTCATTTCGTACAATACAATAGCAATTTCCGTTTGACAAATCGGTAAAGTCTGGATTATCCTTCGTAGCAAAAACAAGTAGTAACTTGGAGAAGAAAATGTTTCGTTCCGAAATTCTTGGAAGTTGAATGTTTTTGCTTATCTTTGACGTTCATCCGCTTATAATGATTGCGTACAGTGTACCCAGAGATACACGTAAGATTTTGTCTCGAGGACACACACATTTAAGTTTGTACAAAATATTTTTCTCTGTTTTTATCATCTTTATCTTAGAACGATCTGTAAAACTACTGGGTTATACAGAAACGGGATGTTCGAAAAATAGGGAGGGAAAAGTTTCGGAACACGAACGAAGCAGGGTCACGGGGTAATATTTCCGTGAAAAATCGAATCGATGATCCGTGAACGTATTTCGTTCTTTGTGAAACGGGATACGGGTGGAAAAAGATAGAGAGAGGGACACCCAAGGGATCGGAAAAGCCCGTAGGAATCGCGTAGTCAGGGGTTTCCATACCGATGCATAAATATTGAATGGCACGGTTCGTCGAGTTTTCAAAAACTCGCAGTTATCCTCCTCAGTGAATCCTGCGAACTTTATCATTCGAAATAAAAGGATAATCATGGCTTAACTTCCGCGCGATTCGCCTTCAAATTTGTAGCTCGCGATAAAGTTATCTAAAGAATTATAGCATCGAATAAATGTAGGACGTGATTTCGCGAAAGAATTATTAAAATATCTACAAATGGAGCGTTATGAGTGATGACAATTCGAAATAGAACATCAAATAATCTCGTTAAAACAGCACGGAAATGACTCTTCATCTATTGTTATCGCTATTCTCTTTTCCTGGTGTCTCTTGTTATCTTAACTAAGAAACTTTATATCCGCTCGAATGTCTGTTCTGTTCGCTGTTATTGAAAGCAAAAACGACAAACGTTTAAAAAAAGAGAAAAGAAAAAAAGCCATCGGTGTAGTTCAGGGCACGTCGTAAAACCAATTCGGTATGTTACACAAAATCGTTGTGTATTTTCCGTTAACAATAGATTCCATGATAAAACAGTCGAATCTCTCTAATCTCTCGCGTATCCGGTTGAAAATATCCGACTGATGAAAATGGAGGTAGACAGCGATAAAAATATTTTATGATGCCGCGTTTCGTTTTACCGCACCGCATACGAATACCAACCGACTTTTTATCGTGGACTTTTCATTTTCGACGTGGTGATTTTAAGCCGCTCCTTTACGCGATTTATTTGTACTCTTTTGTAAGTACAAAAGCTAACTTCGTCAACGACGGCATTCAAATTGATGCAGCTCGGCTATGATACATCGCGCTGTTAATTTACCCTTTGCGTGATAAAGACAGACAAGGGTTCCGAGGGAGAGAGAGAGAAGTAAGTAGACGAGAGGGAGAGAGGGAAATAAACCCCGTTAAGCCTATGAATGCTCGCCGAACGCCGATAACAGAATTACTGCTAAGGGCTGTTTACACCAGGGCTACTGCAACCGCGTCAGGCACGGCTAATTGTTTTAACCGGCCGTACTTAACTAACGTGGCTCAATAAGACCCGGATTTATGGACTCACCTATGGGGGTCATGGTGCAATTACAGTCTTAACGAACGTGTCACGATAACGTTGGACGGTGTTGTAAATAAAAATCAAAGACACGTTCTGTGCAAACTTTAGAGGAAAGAGTGCTATTTGGGGCTGTGTTTCCGAATGAACCCTCAAAATTGAGAACTCAGGTTTGGTGTATAACCTAAATTGACTACAAGAAACCGATTAAAGTTAGTTTCAGAGCTAGATGTCTTACCGTTTTCGAGATATCATGGTAAGATTAGGTTAGGTTAGAGTAGGTTCAGTGTATGCGCAGTATCGAATAGCGCATGTTCAGTATCGAATGGCGCATGCGCAGTATTGAATGGCGCATGCGCAGTATTGAATAGCGCATACGTAGTCCCAAAATTGTACAAAAATTTCTTACCACGATATCTCAAAAAAGGTAAGACATTCAGCTCTGAAACCAACTTTAATCGATTTCTTGTAGGCAATTTAAGTTATATACCGAACCTGAGTTCTCAATTTTGAGGGGGCCATTCGGAAACTTATCCCTATTTGGTCCCCTGAATAATTTTTATATCATTTTATTATAGATATCTTTATCAATTTACTTCTATTTTAAACAAATTATGAATAAGATTTTTTGGGAGAATATAAAATTGGAGCTTGGAGTAGAAGGACAGTTTACCACCTTGTCTTTTGCAATCTTTGACCCAGGTAATAAGTAGAAGGGTAAGAATGTAATGAAATGAGAAGTACATCTAAAGTATGGCTCAATTCACACTGATCATTAAAACTCGTAATCTTCTGTGCATACGACCGAACAATCTCGTCCACGTCGCACGATTGAATTAATGACGTCGTTAATGCGCAATTCAACAATAACGCGCATCGATCGTCGTGGAAATGCAATTATAGAGAGTGGTAGGTAGGCAGGTGGCAAGTAATCGGTGTGCAACTACCGATGAGTTGAAAAACGCAAAGGTAAGATTGGATCTGGACGTTGCGCCTCGAGTTCTCTTGCGAGTTGGACGCTCGTAACTCGTATTCAACGAGACGAATAAAAATTGTACAATCGATAGCTTCGACCGTAAATCGCAACATTCAGGTATTCGGTAAATAGTAAATGTTACGACTATTTCTTGCTGGATTTTCTAGAATCTTTATTTTCTTCTGAACTTTCCAGTGAGAGTGTAAAATATTTCTAATTATTGATCCAGTTTCTTCTGGAATATTAACTGGTCAGACGAATGATAAATTGATCTTCTTTTATAAATAGACGAGGTTTCGTGGCTTTAATCGACTGGGTTCGTTAAAATTGCATATAGTTTGCAGTTGGTCATTAATGAAAAGCCCGAGTTACAGATAGTAGTTACAAATTTCTAGAATTTCTAATCACAAGATAACGTTTTGCAAAATTAATTTTATAGAAAATACAACCAAGGATAAGATAACAAATTTTCTTTATTTCATGCCCTTAGAATAATTTACACAAAATTTCAATTGTTTCACGCCTTCGAGATTTATCAAGGTACACAACCCCGTCAGTTTCTTGATTTTGAGGTTTTCAGCAAACGCTGACGTAGCAACTAGAGTAGCTTTAACTTTGAGGGCCTTCGATATCGCAATGGTGGGTCTTTGATTACGGAAGCAGTCTAGCAAATACATCTGTCTTTCTCTGTTCTGCTTCGGTAACGTTGCGTCTTCCTTCGCCGCAGCCTGTATATCTACTTTGAAAGACCACATCATAGGTGGCCAGGTCTCGGGGTTCGGCTTAATCACGACCCTGCAGCACGAGGTTATCCTAATTTCGTAGTGATTAAACGTTGCTGGCTTGTACCGGCACCAGGAGACGCGATATCCTCTAAAATTGAAGCTTCTTGCAAAATCGACTGTTCTAACTTGAAATTTTCCGAAATTAGAACACGATATTGCCAGCGATAGCCTAGGAAATAATTCCTGATACGAATTTACAACTCCAAATTCAAATGTATTAAAATTGCTTCCAGGTTAAAGATATAAAAACACAGTATCTCATTAAAAACTCGTTATGTCTTGTCTGGCCGCAATTAATTTGTCGTCAGTATCCTCTATATATAGACTCAGACATCTACTTAATACCGAGCTACCAACTAGAGTACTCGGCGAGATCCTATATTATTCAAGCTGGTTATTGCAATTCCAGTTCTCTTCGGGTGAACGAAGAAACGAAAGCTCGTCGTAGAACGAGCGAATCGATCTTCCAGCGAGGTCAGAGCTCGCCTCGATATACCCTTACGTCGAAAGTCACGCCGTCAGAACGTGTACCTAATTAAAAGTTCGTACTACTTCCCTAGAACCTGGTGGCACGGTGTTACCCCTATCGGCTGTCGTGTTCAAGCTAGTTTCCACGAAGAATTGTCATTCCTTTTGCATCTAGATTTTATTCCCCAACCCGTATTTAAGATTGAAAATCTTGATAAGGTGGCTACAGTATTTCTGACTTTCTGTCACTTTCGCACAGGCTAAACGGTAAGAGTTATCGAAAAAATTCTTGCGCCATTGTCTTTAGTGGGTCAAAATCTGAACGAATGGCTGAAAATTCTTTTTTTTTTTGTCATTTCCGGTCTGACCGGAAATGGCCGAAAAAGGGTTGGCTCTAGAGTGAATCTCGCTCTAGTTCACTTTAGCTTGTTCCCCTGGTAGTTTCAAATATTTCTCATCAACGAATAGTCTTGACGAATTACCAATTTTTGTTATTGAATCGAAAAGGGCAATTTCGTTTCAGGCAATTTCAATTTGTAAATTGTACATGTCACAAGGGATCCGTGTGGTTTGACCGGTGCTTTTGAATTATAAAAATGACAGAGGTAGAAATATACGGGTCACGTATTCAGTGTCGTGTCGAGGCCATTCGGAACCTTTCTTCTTTCGATTTCACGTAGGAGCTTATTTCAGTTGAGAATAATACGAAGAACGTAACGAACCAGTTGGCCACGAAATGCGAGAGTCGTGCTCTTTTGAAAAATTGAAGGGTAATGCTTTATAAGGTAACAGCCAATGCATCCCCCTTCCCCTCTTATCCCCCCCTTTGCTTACTCCTTTCTTCATCCCTGTAGACTCTGAAAATCGGGTTTGCAATACAATGAGGGCTTTCAGGGGTAGCGTGCAATGTTGGCACTTGCCAACCGAACGATAAAGTTTCCTCTGAATTTCCCGCAACGCCCCTGGCAGGAGACGAGTTTACGTGGATTTGCTCCAATCAGAGTTTGTTACGTACACACACGGCGCGTAGTTACCAATGAAAATAACCGAGTACGATGACGATTTCTGTGACATCGAAACATCACAAGGAGAGGGCTCCAAGTGTGACGCTGACTTTTTGATGAGCTTTTGCACAATGATAGAGCTTGAAAAACTGAAGCCAATGATACCAAGTTTTTAGCGTAGACGGTTATTAGTTTATGAGATATTTAATGGTAAAGTTATTATCCTGCTTATGGTCTGAAGTATAGTAATAAATTTAATATTAAACTACGCCCAAAACCGGGTATCATTAGCTTCAGTTTTGCAAGTTCTATCATTGTGCAAAAGCTCATCAAAAAGTCAGCGTCATACTTGGGACCCTCTCCTTGTTAATTCAGAACCAAATTCTTACTTTAAACCCCTACTCACAATCAGTCAGCTATTATCATCTACATGTTACATTTCGGCCCTTTAAAATTATTTGTGATAATACTGATTCATTACGTAATTATAAAGTATATTTAATAAGGGAAAAAATTTCATTCAGAAGGAATATTTTGCAAAACAGTGTATATTGTTTGAATAATCTGTATTAGTTTCACAAAGAACAATAAACGAATTTCACAGCTGTACGATATCTCCAGTTCAGTTGTTTAAACAACAAATCCGATTAAATACCGAGAGCGAGGATTATGCATAGAACACGTACTCGTTCATTTGCATATGAATAACATTTGTAAACGATACACAACTGCTTTGAATATAATGAAGTTTACAATTCTAACGTGACCAATAGATAGCAAATTCCAGGATTTTGGGCGATAATTAATTTCCGTGAAAATGATGTGATATAATTGAATATAAAAATTTTTTATTCGGTAACAAGTTGTTCCAGTAGCAATTTAAAGAAAGTTCCTGAAAAAAGAACTTCATTCTCGTCGCGACAAGTTCGTAAAACTGTTTCTCAAAGCTATTACAACATTTCCCAACAAATTTCCCATGGAACTCAAAGGGCCGTGCCCTTCTGCTCGTCGATTTCGTTCGCAATCGGCAAACTTCTTCCGGCCACGGAATTAAATCACGAATCGCTCTGGACTGCAGTTGGAACAGAAAGTTCGAAGACCGAAAGAAATAACCCAGAAAGTACGGTGTAGCTTCGCCGCGTAATGTTAGCTGCGAACGATGCGAAAACTTGTACATCCTCGGCCACGGGGCTTTACTTTGAATTTCAATGCCCGATCCTCGGGGAATCACAAACGTTTCCGCGAAAACTAAGCACTTTGACCGACGTTACATTTTCCCGAGGGACATCTGTTCATCGTTGAACTTAAATCCTCCTCCTTTTCACGCGTGTAATCCTTTGAATACGCATGAAAACGATGCCTGATCCGTTGAAAAGAGCTGCGCAGCTCAGGCGTGTGATTAAAACGCGTGCAACGTTTAAAGGCACGAATTATAATGGTAAATCATTTCTGACCTTATTTTTTTACCGTGGAAAGATTCTATGGTTGGAGAGGTTCTTGTAAAAAAAACTGACATTAACACGTTGATCGTTATAGTGAAAATGGATATTTCTTATGAGATGTATTGGAACTCTAATTATTAAAAATAGGAATGGCTCATTTTTTAAATTTCAAATGTCAAGCTTTTAATTTGCTGCTGTGCAGTATTAATATAATAGCATTTTTCTACTGTATTCTTTTAATTATTCGACCCTTGCGGCATTCAACATATTAAAGTAATAATTAGGAATGGATAATGTAGTTGAAAAAAATGACAGGAACTAGAAAATTGTTTTATAGGAAAATAATTGTTAAATGAGAGTCATTGATAATACTTTTATTAATCATTGAAAGCGCTACATATCGCAATACATTTTTCATAAAACTTTCAGTTGTATCGGAGGGAACAATTACTATTAGAATAACTTTCGTCACGAATTGGCTCGTGTAATTACAGAATTTACTTAGCTTGCACGGGTTGGTCCCAACGGATTTCAATATCTCACTCGGTCTTCCTTTCATTATAGTAATCCCTTTTTTCCGTTTGTATAAGGAAATAAGAAACTAAAGGCAGAATTGAAGGCAACCGGTCGATCGTAGAGCGCAAATTGGACGTAATATTCGTGTATACACTTGAGTAACATTTATAATAGGATAAGCTATACAATAATTGGCACTTTAAACTAAAGATAGATCTTATAAAATCAGATAAATGTGAAAATTGATTAGAAAGGTCAAAGGAAAAAGAAATAGAAAAATATATTGCAAACAGAAGTAAAATGATTGCAGGGATTAATAATTGGCACACTGGGCAGGGTGATTGAAGTGTCAATAATAGAATTTAATTAAAAATGCCAAAATTAGTATAGCTTATCCTATATTTGGAAGCAACAATCAGGGCCGGCCCTGGGCCTAGGCCCCCCAAAGTCCAGGGCCCCCATAAGACGATTTTCCGTTTACTTGAGTATTAATCGATGTAAATGCGAATCTAAATTAGTTATACAAGCTTTAATGTTAATTTTATAAATTTTATTTGAGGTACTTTCTTTTATGTCATATATGTGAAGCCTCGGACTCCGAAATCTCAGGGCCAGCCCTGGCAACAATTTACTTTCAATAATTCGTCTTCGACGTATCTGTTGATCCGTTATAGACACCGTTAAGGAACATCAACGTTCAGCGTACAATTAAGCAAGGCCCTTTCTAATTATATGTGTATAATCAACAATCTAATTATTCCTCCTTTGGGATGATTTAAATTTGTACACACGATACATAGGCGAATACGGTGTAACTTCTCCGTCGCTGTCACCTTCGTCTCCCGTGGGATCATCTCTGTCCGGTTTCGAGGATCGATATATTTGACTTTTCTCGTACAATGGCACTGAAAGAAACGTGAAGTTTATTTTCATCGATTCAATTGAAATTTCCTGGTAAATAAACGTGAAACAATATTATTGGATTGCAGTATCGCGAAACGTGTATCGAAGGTAAAAAATACTATCCGTATCTTTTTATTTTGTAACGATGATAATCTTGATATTTCTATCGAATGTTTGCACAAAATCGTGAAATTAATCTTCTTCGAATACAGAATTCTATCATGTTTCATATCACTATACAGTATCTGAATATGTAGAATTTTTGAGGTACCAGGTTCTAAAGGAATCATTTTTATATTGTATCGATGATAATCTTGATATTTCTATCGAATGTGTGCACAAAATCGTGAAATTAATCTTCTTCGAATACAGAATTCTATCATGTTTCATATCACTATACAGTATCTGAATATGTAGAATTTTTGAGGTACCATTTTCTAAAGGAATCATTTTTATTTTTAGGTACTTTAATTGCAGTATTATTTTAGAAACACAACTTTTATTTGTTCCAATTGAAACATAAATATTCGAACACTTTCCTGACCAATTGTATGAAAAATAAAACGTGTTCGTTTATTAGAGTTTCGGTTGAAACTGTTGATTACAGAAGGACAGGTGGAATATTCTGACAGAGCTTTCCAACTGTCCAGGAATATTTACATTCTCGGGAGAATAATGTAAATCGTCGACTAGTACTTTTCGCAAATACCCGTAATTAACATGTACCAACAGTAATGCCATTTTATACGTACGAGACAAACTCGGTTTTGCAGTTCTCTCTCTGTCCGCGTTTTTCAGCGAAGACGTGTCGTTGCCGTATTCATCCATAGCCATTGTACGCAACGGTTGAAACTGCGAATCCTCCGTCACGTTGGCCGTTTTTTGCGGAGTCTCGTAAGTTTGAATCGGTATAGTGCCGATTACTATACTCGTGCGTAGCTTCAAATTCTTCTGAAACATTCTGTAGTACCACTCGCTCACGTCTACGCAGGCTTCGACCTTTTGATTAAAATAAATATTACACGTAACGATAGGAAATTAATGATCTGGTAATTTAATTAATTAACGACGGTGAACTGTGCAATTCTATTGAATCATTGCAAAAGTCCTATTCATTTCTTTTTAAATATTGAATTTCAATTCCGTTATTCTAATATTTTTATAAATAAGACTTTTGCAATTATTAGACAAAGGGTGTAAAACGTGTGCAAGACAAATCAGTGTGAATTTTTCTCAACTCAAGTTATCAAGCAATTATAATTCTAATTAATTCGGGTCCTTGGGTGCAGCTAAATTTAAAACAGTCTCACTTTAAGCGTATACAGAACGTCGACGATGTTGCAGTGGATCATCCCTGTGGGTGGTACTGCAGGAACGTCAAACGTGACGTCGTACGTGTCAGAATTTCTACTAACAGGCTGTTCTACTTCAACTACGATCTCTTTGTGCTTACGAGACTTTTCCGTGGAATGATAAGTCACCACCTAAGAAAATACGGACCATTTAGAAATACCGACAACAGGGATTCGTTAAAAAGAAACCTATTCGGAGCATGACCCAGAAAGTTTTGCCGCATCATGCTGCGTCTTCTCCGCGAAGATCTCGAAATTTTTATCTTCGTAAGATCTAACAAACTACGAAAACATTTTGGGACATGCCAGCATACCTAACGATAAAGAAAATCATGCAAACTTTCTATCTTTTAAATCGTCACAAAAATGGAGTTACTTTTTTCAAAACGATTCTGATTTTCTTAAGTGCGACTGTGGATTGGTTGTCCATGTTTATCCTTATGGGTATAGTCTGACCAGGAACGTAACCGTGTACCGGAAGTATCATGGATATACTGAGAGCTTCCGTCTGACCCATGTATACCTTAGATTGTTGAATGCTTATAGGCAACTGAAAGGATCGTTAATTTCTTATGAATTTATTATTTCACGGTAATCTTTTATCGAAGGCAGGAAGATTAAAATGGCAAAGAACGGAATCACGCTATGAAAGCAATATCGTCGTTAGATTTCTACTCACAGGAGCGAGGGGATCTCGATTAAGGTCAAGAATGGGCGCCACCGTGAATGGAATAATATTGGTGGAAAACCGATAAATGGTCGTTACGTCCAACAATGCCCTAATCGAGTACCGTACACGTCCGTATCGGCCCTCGAAACTGCACGGCAGATTCTCCGGAAGCGTCAGGCTGAACGGATAGACGCCGCCAGTTATCATAGACTTTTCTTTACCATCTAACCGTGACGAGAATATCTGTTAATCCGACATTCGGCTTTCGTGTAGTAATCGCCGGTTAACTCGGATGTACTTACCACCTACGAGATAAGTTTCCACGTGAAGGTAATTCTCGAACGCCGAAAACTTACGTCGTATGCCGGCTGATCGATCCGTGAAATACACCTGAGCCTCACCTTTGCATTTAAGCCTAATTCCTAAGGTGTGAAAAAGGTGTAAGCTTACGGACAATCGATTGATTTTAAATCACACTCGATTTAAGGGGGGAACATGGTTTAGAACACCGATATTGGGCAATTTTTTTTTTAACTTTAAATCATAGTAATTAATTTAAGAACTTTTTAGCTGTTTTATTGGGGATAAAAACTTATAAAAATTTTTGAATTTTACGAACTTACCTTCTATTTGAACTAAAAAAAATATTAGAAAGTCGAAAATTGACAAATTTATTCAATATTCAAGAAAAATTTCATTTTTTACCTACAAAATTGAACGATGATTTGCAAAAAAAAAATTGTTTAACATAACTTTTTATACAATGCTTTTAGTTTAAATAGAAACTATACTAATAAGCTTTAAAATAAGCCCCGGTTCATTAAAATCCGTTGATTACAATTTGTTTAATCGTGTACGCAGTTTCGAGAAAATCAAGTTTTAAGTTTTCTTAAAACACGTTTGCCTCGTGTCTTCGAATTTCGACCTGAAACTTTGGCAAAATATTTTCAGATTAATACGACTTCCAAAAAATACGACCTCTAAATCAGGTTCCCTCCTTAATAGCTTTCGAACCGTTTAAATATATTCTAGACGCATTTCTTTTATTTTTATTTTCTCTACAAGGTTTATCGCAATACCAAAATCACGCGGTATATGGCCCGGTTGCGTGTACGTGGCGATAATAAACTTTTTAGGTCACCCGTTATGCAACACGATCGATGGTACGTTTCGCAGGCGTTCGACTCGAACAGAAGAGGGATTTTTGTGATTGCGATGCGACAGCAAGAGTAAACATCGCGAGAATAAATATAAAGTTGCTCGTGCCTCGTTACAACAAGCCAATCTAATATCTCCTCGATTTTCCGTGTCGCTGTTGTTTCCGAACAGCCAAGAGATAGCACGGTACAATACCCTGATTGTAACCGAGTGAAACTTAAAACCAATCGTCCTGTCGCGGAAAATTTATCCGGTAGTATAATTCGTGTTTCACGAGAAATTAGGCAATTTCATTTGCGCAATTATTTTCTGTGTCATCATTAAAATATAAAGATTCTCATTAACGAGAAGCTTACCCAAAGCGTTCACAGGTTCGTCCAAATCTAGATGAACATTTCCCGAAATGTGCTGTCCACTGTAATAAACCTGCTGAGGATGATCGAACACGATGTCGATGCGTTGAAATCCCATGCTAATCGCAAGAAAGAATCTCGATAAAACGATTCTATCGTTGACAACGTGATCTTATACCTTTTCGATAAGGTTGCAACGATCGATTGATCGGCTTCAGTTTCCTTCGCCTCCTCCATCCTGTGACACGTGTACACGGACCCTCTGAAGCAACTTCGAACGCATCCAAATGTCCGGTGAAATTTACGAAGACACTTTTATAGACACCGTTATCATCGCGTTTATCGTAGATACAAATCACAGAAATATAAAGGACACACCTTCCGAACGATTACACTTTCCGTTCACGAGCGTGTCACATGTCACATCCAGGGCAACCTTCATCCCCGACGAATGGTTCCGAATTGTCTGAAGGGAATTCGAAATTGCACGCGAAGATGCGATCGAGGAAGAAGTGGAGCGTACATGCCCAGTTATCTTGTCTAGGACGAAGTGAGATGTTTGTTGACAAGATACCAAAATTGCAGCGGACTCCTGGAAGCGAGGTCGACGCATGCGTCAGTCGGTTCGCCAATATCGGTGGCGACATTCTGTCGTGTTGGTGGAGAACAACCTTTGCTCTTTCACCTCCTCTGGCCCGGATAATCGAAGGACTCTCGTTCAGGCTGGGAACCCTTCCTCACAGGTGGATGCATGCCGCAGTGGCGTAACTCGGAATTAAGGACGGGCAGCGCGTAATAAGGGCGCCCGTATCGACCAATTGAGAATCACCAGGGGTAACTCGCACCGTTTAAATTTTGCCGCATCGCTGACACTTTTGTGCTGTCAGTGATGCGCTCTTATCTCCCGCGCGAAAAACTGCGAAGTGCTGACTCCATTGTATTCCAGCTCGATGGTACCTAGTTAAAAAGATCCGGGGATTCTTTCGATCGATCAACAGTGTATTCTTCGAGGTGTGCCTTTCTTTTTCATTTTTCAGTAGCTTATTCGAAGAAAGATATAATGTACTTAAACTTAGCAGAGAAGAGAGTTTCTCAGTTTCCATTCTGAAAAGTTTACTATCTCCGCTAATGATGGAACAACGTATTTACAGAGAAAAAACTTCTTCTGCTTCGGAAAGTAAACCAAAAGTTTTTTAGTTATGAAAAGTTATTAACCCTTTAACTGTGGGTGTGGTTTATAAACCACATACTAAAATTATAGCCAGAGGGTGTGGTATATAAACATGTTAATTTTTGGTAATATCAAATAGCGGCTGTGGCTTATAAAAGTAAAAATAAAATAAATCTTTTAAAAGTACCTAGTGCTAAAAGTACCTGCAGTTAAAGGGTTAACATTGGAGTACCGAAAGAGGGTATAGTGAAATTTCGCGCCATATAAGAGAGACATTTTTATTGATATAACGTGGAGGAAAATTCGAGGGCCTTGTTAAAAATTGCGACGCGAACTGAATTTATGACACGACCGTGACCTCTTCGTCGAATTTCACGTTAAGAATTTACATATCCTCCCATCTCCTTATTTCAATGTAATTTTCCTCTATTCTGCTCTTTTTCCGTTAGTTTTACATAAATGGGAGAAATTTGAAATTCCACCGTTGAGAGGCGGAAAGACATCTCTGAAAATCCCTTTGACTTCCTTTCCTCGGGATCTTAATTAATGCATCGTAAATTCGAGCGAACTTTGTACCTTTGGACAAGGACTATGATATCGCGGTACAATTTTCCAAATTAAGAACGCGTGCAGTGTGTCTGCATTGCACATCTGCAAGCCGTATGCAGGAAATTCGTGCGAGACGTGTTGAAAATTCAGGAAACCGGCCAAAAGATCCTCATTAACGTTCTCTCTACTTTCGGTTGTAGACTTTCAAACAAGATCTTGTGATCTGGCTATGATACTCTATTCAATTCTTTAGAACTAGAAGTAATTCAACTTTCAAACAAAGATACTCAGCTTGTACGTTGCGATCTCTGTAAGGGTTGTCGCGTTTGTTCCAATTGCAATTATTTTTAGACTTTGATGAAATATCCTTGCACCGGATGTCCAGAACATTCACTTTCACAGCGAAAGTACCGCGAGTGACAGTGCATAACCGACTATGTACTTTAAACAGGAAATTAAACCGCGACTACTAATTGCGAAACACATCAACTAGCACATAAACACATATAATTATCGGTATATTCTTGCGGTTACCATTGATCAACGTATAAAGTTTCATGCGTAAAATAGCCTTTCTTTTTTAATATTTTCCTAATCATTTGATCATTACAGTAAACGAAGTTTTTCTAGCAGACTCACTTAACACGTCGACTACCGTATGAGTCATCGATGATTAATATTTCGAATTATATTATCAAATTAGAAGTTTAAATTTAGAAATTAACACGTTCAACGTCACTTACACTCTGCAACTTACGCACGCCTGAATAATTAAAAGAAAACAATAGAGAAACATTATTTTAAGTAATATTGATATGGTACAAATAACGTGAAATGGCAAATAGAAAGTTTGAAATTTGAAATTTGAAAATTAATTATTACTATTCTTAGTAATTAGAGCTTTAATTTTACTGTGGCGTTCAATTTGTTAATCGATGGAATTTTTAATAATAAAGATACATAGTGCCGTTTTTACTATGCTAGTTTATCTACCAACGGGAACTAGGCTTTAGGGTTGCAAGCTAACAGAGCTTGTGATTAAAAAAAAAAAGGGGGACAAAAGAAGGTGGTTCAGTATAAATTCAACTCGTTACGCACGAATGGCCCCGTAACGTCATCGAGTACCTTCTTGCACCCGGTATCTGGCTTGTATCTGTGTAGCATGGTAACCAGATATTCCGGAGAATTAATTACATACGGTCTAGCAACGACCGGTATAACCGCGATAGAGGCGACTTTAATTAGCGATCTCGCTCTCGACATTTCTTTTCGAAGACGGTAAATCAAGCTCGGTAGGCTCCTCGTCTTACACGTAACAAGAAAATTTCACAATAATGCACGGTCATCGATCGTCGGCTACTATCATTTGAATGGATCGTAAAGGGTTGGGAGGGACTTCCATTTGCCGACGTATCGTACACATCGCAATAACTCTTCCACTTTCTGCTTCGCTCATTGTGCACCGTTAAAGAAACCGCAGCGAACGAATGCGCTCTGATTCTAGATCGAATTTCAACCGGCTCGTGTACACGTTGATTTAATGCGAGTGCGAATCTCAGGTATTCGATGTACCAGCCTATCCCGTCCAACGTTGTTACACACTCAGTAACACAAGATAGTGGTACGTGATATCTCTGTGAAAACGAATTCTTCCTAAAAAAATTTATACGTACGAAGTGGTTTATGCAATTGGGACGTGTTTAATTTTGAATCTGGTAAGAGATAAAAGAAAAAAGAACTGTTCAGAGAAAAATTCATTTTCTGCATAAGTGCAACGATGCGCCTGAAAAATGCAAATGCACTGAAATTGCATATATTTTTTTTTTTTTCACTCGCATTAATTCTTTGGAATATTTAAAAAATTTGAAAGTATGATGTTTCGTACAAAAATTTGAATATATTATTTTTCATTTTTCAGACATTTTACCAATTTAAAAGTAGATAATATTCAACGCCGGTGGTTCTAGTATTAACTATGCATTTCGATTTACATATTTTATTCGTTCTAATACTGGCTCAAAGGTATCGTCGCTTTTTCGTTTAATGACAAAAATCCCTTTGATGTTCCCGTTCGTTATACATTCGCTTTGTATTCGACGAATCCTCTCAAATGTCCCTTATCAACTGTTACGGAGGAAGATGATGTTAATCCTGGCTAATAATGCCTAGTCTCGTCACGATAGATATTTCAGTCTAAAGGTAAAGCTTCCATCTCGTATTATTAATGCCAACGTGATGGTCAAAGTACCGGTAATAGGAAATTCTCGTTGGATATATCTTCATGGGATTAAAATGGAATTACCCATTCCTCCGGTAACGATTGATCCCAAAGCATCGATAAAATGTGCATAAAATATTTCAATAAGGAAATATCATTCTCGTCTGCTAGCATCAATACATGTTTACGATTCATTCATTGCAATTGTATGTCTGTTTTTCAAATTTTATTCTGGAAATTGTCCAAAGACATTACATCTATCATTTACTGATAGTCTTCCTTAGTAGTTTTGATTTTATGATTTGACTTATCTTCTGGAAGGAGTTCAATCCATTTTTACTTTACCAATTCCGTAAGAAACGATGTACTTTATTTTGTCGACTAAGGGTTGAAGTTTGATAAATTCTTGAGAAAAACAAGTGGGAAGGACGATTGATTGTCTTACAAACCGTAAGTGGAACAAGATCTCAAATAAAAACTGAACCAATACTCGAGAAGAGAGTATTAACCAAAGAAATAGATCATTTTTATTGTTTGATTGAGAAGTATCAGCAAAATATTCTGTTTCCAACGGAACCTTTATTGAGAACCAGGAATGTGTTAATCAACATTATTTACCCCCTAACAAACTTCTTCACCTTCCGCCATTAATCAATCTCGGCAATGATGAACGAAAAAGTTTATTCATAATTGCACATCGATCATTTTCCTATGAATCATTTTCCAATAAATCATTTTCCATGGCAAGTCGAGGATAAGAGGTCATCGCACATGATATCATAAGTTGCTTCGATTTTCTTACGTGCACTCACGACCTTCGATTTTTTTTTTTTTTTTTTTTTTTTTATCTTTATCAGAACCGAACGCTTCTTGGACACTCTGGATGGGGTGTAGTCAGGGCGTAGGGGTGATTTATGACTTTAGTGCAGGAAGAGGTCCTTCGGGATAGGAGGCAAGGTAAAACAAGAAACACGAGCTAGGGTAATAATAGTTTCTTGCAGTTCCACGGCAGTGGACACGGGGAAAGGGTAATCCCGGTGTCACCATAAATTCCAATGATAATAATTACCGCGCCTCTTCACCCGCCTCTTTCTCTGACAAGCCTTACGAGCATGCTCGCGTTGTGGCATAATTTTTGTCCGTGTGCAACAATGTGTATCAGAACGGAAACTGAATGTTTTGTTGTAATTGCTCTGTGGGGGGACGTTTTTCCTGTGGTTGGATTAAATGATTAGAGAAGAAGCAGTGGTTTTAACGAGCAAGTTATTTAATATCATTGAAAAAAAATTGAGGGTGAAAATCTCCATCGGTTGGTACATTCAAAAATGCAGACTTCCAGGAAAATGCAACTGATGCACCGATGCACAAAAATGCATACACTTCCAGTGCATGCCATGGCGTTTTTCAATCAACCTGCAGATTACATAATCAATATTTCTTTAAACGAAGTATACCCTTCCGAAGGGTCGACGTAGAGATAATAATAATGCAGAACGACCCACTTTAATCTAAAATTGGACGTATATCCACAAGCATTTAAATACCGAAGGGATTAAAGCAGGTGGACACATTGAATAAAATAAAATTCTATTAAAAACTAGTATGTAGAAAGAACAATTTTATTATACTTAAACAAATTCTCCTTGTTCATTCAAAAAAAACAAGCATTAACAATATTTACAGCCAACAAACATGACAAAAGAATTCAAAATAGAAATCTAGCTGTATGCTTTTTTGAAAAAACCTTTTGAAAGCTACAAAATCTCGAGTATTTTTGATTCGCCTCGTTGTACCAACGGAACAACCACAAATCAATGCATCCTGGCGGAAACGTAAATTACGTTTCGAAGGGACGAAACGTTCTAATTCGGTCAGGCCTCTCTGCTCTGCGCCGAGGTTCGCGGTACAGCTGGTAAATGGAGTTAGTTTCCGGAATACCTGGATGCTTCACGCACTAACGAGTTCCTGATGTTCCACGTGCCGCAATCTCGGACCACAGCTTCGTTAGACGGAGATAAAGGGTTGCAGCAACCGACTGCAGCGATCGTCTGGAAATTACAGCTAAGTGCCACTTCAGAGTCCGTCAGAAATTGTGCAGCCTTGTTAATTCCCCGACAAACATACGTGTCCTTGCTTTATCGAATTCTGAACTCCGTCATTTGGTTCTTCGAATTCGAACGCACTACGATGCAATTTGATAAACGACAATAATATTCATAATATTCATAATTTCATCCAGATTGAAGAAAGGAATGAAATGTAACAAGTTCTACAGATGCTTTCGTGAAAATAGTTCGATACATTTATTGAATGGCATGCGTTGCGTATGTTTGTTCATTGAAGAACACTCAGTACCTACATACGTCTCTGAATGTCCTATTACTAATACATGAAGATTACGCGCTATTGTCTCGGTCTAATAGCTGCATGTTGACACAATTAATAATACGTCACCCGTGCTAGAACGTGTTGGGTGGCTGTCAGCGATGTTCCACGGTGCATCAGTTGCCTGGTTACCCTGTAAACTACATTACCTGATTAAACTAAAGATCGACGTGCGAGGGCTGTAACAGTTTAGGATTGAATGTCATGTTCAGTCAAGCATGTCTGTTAAAGTTTGTGACATTATAATGATGGTTAGCTGTCAGGGCCGACTCTGAGATTTCGGGGGTCCGAGGCGAGCTCCGAGCCCTTCGCATATATGACATAAAAAAAAGTTCCTGAAATAAAATTTATAAAATCAACATTAAAGCTGGTATAATTAATTTACATTTGCATTTACGTCGATTAATATTTAAGTAAACGCAAAATCGTCTTATGGGGCCCTAGGGGGGCCCTAGGGGATATCAAATCTCTGATAGTGGCTTCAATTATAATAGTGAATAATGAATATTTCAACTGGCAAGTAGCCATTAATGATGGTCTCGTGTAGCCACTTTGCGTCATCAAAACTGCATCTAATGCACCTATTGCAACGAGTTCATTTCATCAGGTTCGTCCAAAACCAATAACACTTCAAAGGATCCCAGTGCTTCTGACACTAATGGCCAACGATCAGGATGCACTGACTTATCCGAACGCACCGGTAACGAGAGAGAAAGCGATGGAAAATTTATGCACCATCTATACGGGATTGTAAGGTTGGAAGTGGTGCTCAAGAGACGGCAAATAAATTTCATGCCGAGGAGAGAAGCGAATACAAAGTTGGCCGGTACTAGTTTCACGGGACGATAGTTCCGCGAGTAAAAGCATGTCGTATTTAAGGGATATACGTATATATGCGACTCTGTGTCCACAACGAAACCATCAGAAACTCGGTCAAGAAGCATCGAGGAAAACACTCGGTTACGCTCGCGTTGTGAAACGAGCTTGAGTAGGAGAGAAGTGGGTACTTTAGACTCGTTTAGGTTCCTCAACGTTGCTCCCTTGCTCGTAATATCCCTTCCCGTCACTAGGATATCCACACGAAGTCGTAACTGTGAGCTTTCGTGCAGAGTACCATCTTATTTTTCGACCGTGATCGTACGCTTCATTAAATTTATTCGAGTACCTCCGCGGCTTTTAAAACAATTTTTTCCGCGAGCCGGGACCAGCTTTCAGGAAACAAACAGGGTGAATCTAGCGCGAATCGTCAACGATATTTTCACTAGCATTACTATCGTAAGCGGAATTGGAATCTGTATCGCAACACATTAATTGAAGTTGAACGATTTCCATTTGCCACGGTTATCAGTGCAGAAAGGCTATTTTCAACTTCTACCACATTATTCTACAAACACGCGAAGTACAGAGAACATGATGCACGTTACAATTGTCCCAAGTAATTATCTCGTTCCATTCGTGTGCCAACGAGCGAGGGTGTACACGGGGTCGGGGTGTTAACGAACCGGACAATGAGTAGTCACGGTTCGTTAGATACTCAACAACCAAATAATTAGCAAGTCCATTTGGATTCCCATGTGTCTAGATTTTGGACACCACGGTCGCGCCTTTGTCACTCGTCATTTTACTTGTTTATATCTTGCCTTATCGCGTTTTCCTTCGACGCGACGATTTTACGCGACACTGAAAACGGTTATATCCGTCTTATTGGCGAAGAGATACGGTTGACTTGCATTGTGCTTCGGAATAAAAGTATTGCCAACTGTAATATTCACCCAACAATAGGCGCACAAAGAGAGCCAAGAACGATAATAGTTTACAGAAATATCCAGGTAACAGCCTGTGAATGGAGTAAAATTGAAAAGAGTATTGTAGATTTACGGTTTCTTTCTATTGGTAATTGTATTTACAGTATATTTGAAAATTTCTAGCATCCGTAAGTCTCTATGAAGGGAAATTTAATGAAAAATTGAATCTGTACCGCGATGCTGATGATGAAAGATTTTTCTAAGAAAGCATTTAATAGAAGTTCGGAACATCGTTTGCTCGCAGGCTATAAAGAGTTTAAAATAGAGGTATTAAACAAAATGCTGACGCGTCGAGGAAGTGACGTACACCCGGAGGCAGAAGATTCGAGGATGAGGGAGAAGCAGGTGTGGGTTTATGCAAGACAAGCATTTCGCTGCATAATTTCAGTCTTAAAGTGCACTTTATTAAAATAACAACCATGGGAAACAAAGTTAAGTCAACCGAGATAGGTTGATCTGAAAGCTCTTCGTTTAATATAAAGAAACATACTATCCTATTATATTCTATCAAATATAAAAATATATATAGGAACCATTATTATTTATTTTATAACGCATAACTTTTTGAACATTTAAATATAAATTATATCACAATTATTATCACTGTTTAACAGTTATATATTTTATTTTCTTTGGTATGAGGGTAAATATTGAGAAGCATCTGGAACAAAAATGATAACATTTTTTTAGAAAATTAAATAAGTAAAAAAGAATCATGTAAAAAAAGCCCCTTACCTTTTTTCAATATTCTTTCCTCTGGAATTCTTGATATTTTTAAAATATTTTGTATTGATCAAAGTCGATAGCATCCAAAAAATCCCTGTGTAATTGACTCACTACAGGCACAGTGATGTCTCTGTCCAATTTTACATTCAATTGTTCTTCCAAATTAAATGGAAATTTCGAAACGTTCTCTTTGTTCCCTCTATTAAATCGTTTATATTTTTTCGCTCGATTACAACGGACCGAGGGTGTATTTTCTTCGACTTGCTTTTCCGCAAGATCCACTTGTACATCGCAATTATTATTCCGTTCGCGCAGAGGTATTTCACATTTCTGCACCACGTCGCTTCTAAATCGGTGCAGAATAAGCTTCTTCGTTGGCAATTTTAACGAGATCGAAGACGAACTAGATACTTTCGTCTGATAATTACTTACACCATCCTCGGACAACTCTTTTTCCACGTTTTGCGTAGAGGAGATTGCAATTTTTACGCTTTGATTTTGTTTTTTAGATCTATTATCACGTTTGGTTACGTCCGAACAGGGTAATATTTTCAGATAGGATTTGAGTTTTTGATCGGTTAAAAAGTTCATCAGAGGTATATCTTCGATATCAAAATCACTGCATGTACACAAATACCTCAGAGTCAATTTTGACTTTATTTTTCTTGTCAATTTCTGATCATTGGCGGAAATTTTATTTGAGAATTGTTGCCTCAGCTGTAACTCCCACGAATTAGAGATCTGTGTATCGGTGATATCGAACGATTCGTTGGTAATTTTGTATTTATTTCTTGATGTCATCCTGTACAATCTCGTGTGTGGGTGCATTTGCTCGCAGTGCACGTAATAATCACCTTTGTTGAAGAACTGTATCCCTGAAATTTCAATAGCAGAGACTCGTTACATTGTATGTCCTCTCCGACGCAAAATGATTGAGTCTTCGACTGATTATTGATCTATCGCACAGAGTGAAAAGAAATCGCGCGAGAAAATTGATACCCGAACATCAGGTCTGTTATTTCACGATACTCTAAAAGGAAAGAGTGGAGCTTTTTATCTTACGAACGAGATAAACAATAACAGCGATTCCCGATCCTTCGGATCTGGATGGTTCGGGGTTTGTTTAGATCGCGATGGAATTATCGCAGGCATCTCGAAAATATTAAATATTTTATTTTATAAAATATATGTATAAATTTATTTTATTAAGTTAAAAATTTAATTGAATAAAATAAAGAGCTAATTTCACCGTTGTAAAAATACAAAATCGTGCCTCGAATTGGAATATTCATAGAATATTTAAATAATCGAGAAAGAAATCAGACATTTTCAAAAATAAAATTGTAAAATAGTAATAAGATGAATAATTACCGCAACAAACGTGTAGCCTCAAATTCCAATGTATTCTCTCTTGATGACGCATCACGTTATAATTACGATTACTTTCGTACTTGCAATCGGAGCAGGTGTAAGTCCTTTGATTCTTCGAGACTCGTTTCCGTGCACAGATGTTATTTTTATCCTGCATACTGAAATTGAGTATCGATTATTCCCTGATGCGTGGAAAATTCCACTGATTTCCGTGGAAGATTCGAGGATTTTACGACGACGTAATTTCATTTGCTTCCGTAAAACGTACAGGGCACGAAACAACGCGTAAGAATCACATGAATCTTCCAAACAACAAACACAGAATCGTAAAAATTCGACATCTTAAAAGTTCCATTTCCGACGGAACATCCTGACTCCATTATTTCATACACCACAAAATGACATTGCATAAAAATTCACTAATTATCAATATTACCAATATCCTAAGCAAATTATATTTTTCGTACAAGTTTATCACACGAATGCAATTAAAACAAAACGAACAAAGGAGATTTTCTACGACGGTTACCGGTTGAATTTTCTAATTATTAAAAATGGAGGATGTACGATAATGATCCTTACATTTTTTTACAATTACTATTCCCTTTGTATATTCGCATTATTTGGAATGGTAACTCGAAATTAAGATGTTCACCGCTCGATTCGTTAATTCTATTCTGCTGAAATCTCGTCGATGCTCTCCGTACGCGTTTTGACGACTAACTGAGGCGGTGGTAAGAAAGTTCAAAGGGAAGGATCACGTTTGACACTATCGAAACCGAACGCACGTGCGGTCGGAAGACGAGATCTATGTTTCTCCTTCGCGGCGTGCGAGCTTTGTTCCACTTGGCTTAAAATAAATGATCCTCGAGAGTTCTTTGTTTTCTTTGTCTGCGAGAAATAGTAAACAAACTGTCAGGATTATTTTATTATTTTTCATTTCGATAGTCTGTCCTTAGATTGCAAATGAAAATATGTTGATAAGGATAATTACTTTGTAACTTAATGATAATTAAGTATCATTATTATAGCAAAAAATGATAATAATCAAATGGATTGAAATAGAAAATTTATTATCAGAACACGCTGTATGCAAGATAATTAAATTTTGTATTGTCAGTAATAGTTAGCATTAATTTTCTACATATTTGCATTTTCGATAATACCAAATTTTCGATTATCCCGAATGCACATACCCGAAACACTTTCAATGTCGTTGAACCAGGAGATGCCATGCATTTTAAGCGTTGTCTATCTGCCATGCTGGGAAGTCACAAGGAACGAATTTCGATAGGTCAACACGAACCTTGAATAATAATCAGCGTTAATTGCAGACGTGCGTAATACCCTCCGGGACTTTATACATACTTACTGCTGTGTTTCGTGAAAATCGTAAATGAAACCAGTTTATTTTTATTGTCTTTTAAGTACTGCAAAAGAAAACGTCTTATCGATCGTTCAGAAATTATCTTCTTGCAATTCGAATACAAAGGAACCTTCTGTATTTAATTAATTCAATTTTAACTTAACACTTAACAAAATAATATCCACTAATAGAATGAAAAATTTAGATCCCAGGGGAAATTGTAAGTGTCACATTACTGAAAAAGTTGATTGCATTACAAAAGTTGTCCGACTACAGACTTCCATAACTTTGTTATAATTTATCTAAAACTATCGCGATAAAAAGTGGATTAAACCTTCTACTTTCGCACTGCTCTGGTCGGTTTCATTTAAGTCAAGAACGATAACGCTTTTTTCGCGTGTTGAACTCTTTCAACGTTGTACATTTTCGCAATTAAAGGGCAACGGGACAATGTTGGCAAACCAGGTTACAAGGTAGTAGTTGCATTTACAAGGTGTATGCAATGCTTGAACACGTACCGTACCGTGACTCGTAGTCGAGTAACTGGTAAAAAATGTGTACTGTTCGATCTCGAGAGAAATACAGTAGTTCTGGGTAAGAGAAGCCTGCAACCGGCCACTGAACTCACGACCTCGAGAGTCAAATACTTCTCGAAGACGCGGTACAAGTCGCCAAGATGTATCCTTCTCGTAAAAACTGGACCCTGAAGCAGCCTTGCTAGTTGCAACGTAGCCTTGCATGGTAACTTGCAATCGCAGAGATCTTGTAAAATTTAAACCACTCTTTCCTACTCATGGTATACCTTGGATTTCATGAATTCTCAATTTTATCGTTTGCAAAATGACTTTGCTTCGTTGATTATTTTCTAAGAAACAGAAAACTAGATAATTGCTAGTAAAGTTTAATTTATATTTTGAAATTATCAAAGGGATGCTTCCAAACTTTGTTTTCATTTTAATTTGTATTCCAATTCCTTCTAGCCAACACTCGCTGAATATGAAATTTTGAATAATTTAATCCTATAATATTCCATTAATTTATTCTGACATTTTTCGTATTTGCGACGAGGATAACCGTGGCGTTAGTATTCTATACCGTATTTTTCGCGGTTTTGGAATGAAGAATTTTCTTATAAGTCGAGGTACAATTATCTGTAGCCTTTTCCGTGTAACATTTATCAAGTGGCCAACGAGAAGCGTCTGATTTCCCAGGTGAGTTTACGGTATCTGGAAACGGGTACAGATGCACGGATATATTGCAGGTACCCTTGAAAATATATTTCTCTTTGCTGGGCAATCGATATCATTGTTGCATACTTGTTCCCTCGACATTGTTTTTGCATAGGTTCACGCTTTCATGGAATTTCTAATAACCCGTTAAGTTTCAGAACGTATCAGTTCGTGTGTCAGGTTGATGCACAAAGTCTAGTCCACACTTACGTGTAGCGAGGTACAGTGGATCACAAAATTATTCGCTCACCGTTTAAAACAGAATACCTTATTTAAAATTGGACCAAATGATTTGAGGTTTCTCGAGAAGTTATACAAATTAATTTACTAAGATATGTGCTTTTGTTGTTTTAAAAAATTACAATTTGTTGAAATCGTGAAAAATGATAGTGAAGACTATTTAAAAAAGTTATCAGTAATTTTTTAAAACGACAAAAGCACATATCTTATTGTTAGTAAATTAATTTGTATAGCTTCTCGAGAAACCTCAAGTCATTTGGTCCAATTTTAAATGAGGTATGCTGGTTTAAACGGTGAGCGAATAATTTTGTGACCCACTGTATATTAAAATCAAAATTATTCTGGTAATTTTCTTAAAGAATTTTTAATTTCATTCAAATGAATTGAAACGTGAATTTGAGAAATTAAAGAAACGAAATGAAATTCTTATAAAATATTCAGTACCTTTTTATCGTAGCTCATAGAAGAAGAAAATGTAAAAATGTGAAGTTGCGGGTTGGTAACGAAATATAATGGTACTTTCATGACCATATTTTAGAATTAAAATCTCCCCCATATCTCTTAAGGATATATCCATGCTTCTAGAACTTCCATCCTTGTTTCGAACCCTTGGGATTACACTGCAAAACCTTCTGCTGCTTTTCAGAAGAATCTACTTACAAAGCCCTTACTATGAATTATTAATTACTCCGTGTTAATAATTCATTCTCCAGAAGTATGAAATACGTGTCTCGAATAAAATTTGTATTACAGATCTTCGTACAAGTTGTATCATCTATTTAATTTTTATATTTTTCACGTTTTCCTGTTAAGCTACTTCAAATTATCGATATTTCTTTTTAAACTGTCTCAGATTTTAAAATAGGTAAAAATGGAATGTAATCTCGGTTGAAACGTATGATGGAAACGCGAACAAATAATTGAAAAAGTGAAATGTATCACCGGAAGGGGGGGGGGTGGAAACGACAAAGTTACAAGGAATATTCATTGGCGCACGCAAATCGTTCCTGCTCATTTTACTCGTAGCGGGTAGCGCAGGGACGGAAGCGGGCTAACCGCGGGAAAGGCAAGAGGAAAAGAATTATTATGCGAAAAGTTCGTGCTCCTCGTTTCTTCCCTGATGGACGATTAAAACTTCCACCGTCGAATTTACAAATTCCTTCGGGGGCTTCGCTGGCGGAGGCATTAGTTCGCCTCGTCTCGCCTAGCGAACTTAACCGAGTCCTACCATTACCGACCCCGAATTAGAATTTAAATCTGCGGAACGGCTCGCTCGTAATGGCTCGATTTCTTTCGTCACGGTTACGCGGCCGGTTAACCGCCCCGGGACACTCGGCGAAACGCCTTCTCTTCCTTAAAACCGTGTACCTATCGGAAAATTGCAAATTTAAATTCCCCGGTAATTGGATCGGAACCACGCGTTAATCCTTCAACGACGTCCAGGATGTTCGTAAAATTTCGGGACACAGACTGTGAAACGTATGAACGTGTAAATATTTAAGCGGCTTACGGTTCAACCGGTTTTCACGGCGGTAATTGGTTTATCCGGAAGATTAATAGCGGTCGAGGCGAGAGATTCTGGCCGGAAGAAACAAGGTCAGGTATTATATAATCCTGCTTGTTTTGTATTAACACAGGAACAAAGACTGGATGAGGGTAAATTTGTCAACGAGGATTTTACGGTTCAATTTGATTTGTTTGACGATGGGTTTGAAGGGTATTGTTGATGACTAGCGATATTTATCCTTTCCACCTACGCTGGTACTCATTAACCCAAAAAAGAAAAAAATACATTGCAATAAAATAACAATTTTTATTTTTTCTCTGTTACAGATAACGTCAGTTGAAACACATCAGCAAAGTACAAAAGAAAAGTACTATTTAAAAACCATCAGCACACTCGGCACTTTTACCGTTTAACAAGAAAGTAATACTATTTTTAAGTCGCCTGGTTAAAATGGCGATGACTTGTAGATCAACTGCACATTCGTAAAAAAAATTAACTCGGTCACGAAAGGGTTAAAGCGTTTAAAATGAAATTCGCGGTGCGAACGCATTCGGCCTCGGGCGCATGCGCGGTGATCGATTCGGAAGCGTTCGCGAGGGTTCGCGTTTGATCGTGACGTCGAGTTGCGGAGTGGGGATGCGTCGGTCGAAAGGGAGAGATATCGTAGTCGCACTCCGATGGAGGAGCCGTGAGGAGGGACGAAGAGGGTGCGGAGTCCGCGTGTCGTTGACAGTAGCGGCGGCCAGCAGGCGGAATCAGGCGTCGCTCGACAGTCGAAGCCGGTCTCTCGGCGTGCGAGTATCGAAAGTATCGCG